ACTGACTTGATATTAAAAATGTACACAACTAAAGGAAGTTTCAAGAAGCTGCTAAGATTTTTACATGGTACAGTAATTAATGGTAACCAGTTTTAATCTTCTTATCGCACTGGTTTTCAAAAAGATCTGCTGTTTATGTAAAGTATACTTTATTGATAGTAAATGGGCTAAAAACAAGCAAAACCACTGTTATGGTCCTTTAAAAATGCTCTCATAGTTTCTCATCCACTACTCTTTAAAAAAGTACACACATGTTTACATGAGACCACATGGATGCATTAATCTTTCAAACAGCAAACCCCTCCTCCCATACACGTCCACTCTCTCCAAGTAAGTGGCCTCTGTGATTGTTACGCACAACCTGATGTACCACAGAACTCTGTATGTTTAAACTCTGCTCCCTGCTGTCTGTCTACGTCTCTCTATCCTGTCTTCCTACAGCCTCTAGTGGGCTGTGTATTTGTTACAGGTCAAGGATGTTAATGCGTTTTTATGTGCATGTTAGCCTCGGTGAATGTCAGGGCTTCTTCTTCTCCTCAGACAGCTCTGTCTGAACCTGCCCTCCAGCGATCTCACTGTAAAAACGAGGAATGTCCTCTTGGGAGGAAACAAGGAGAGGACAGGACGAGGAGAGATTAATTAAGATAAATGTAAAAATGAGTCACGGGGAGGGAGGAAGGAGGATGGCGATAGCGTCAACTATGGCCGGAGATTACTTGAGGGAACTATTAAAGCTGGTAGATCAGATACATGGTGTGAGGAGAAAATGAAGAGAAGTCAGTATAAAGTGAGCATGTGGGAGGGAAAGGAGGAGAGAGAAGCAGAGAAAGGTTTCTTTGATGTCTCTTGTCCCCTCAGGTGATTCTCCCTCCCATTCATTAGGGGCCGGTTTCCCCGGAACCTTCCTGTCGACATGCCATCTGGAAGGCCCTTAAAAACACCACATTACACTCCTCTTATTCACTACAAGCAGCCCGTGTTAACATTCACCAACCACCCTTCCCTCCTCCGCTCCCTCACTACTCCTCCTCCTCCTCCTCCTCCTCCTCCTCCTCCTCTCCCCGTCTCCCCCTTCCCTCCATTGGTCCTCAAAGTGTTCCATTTCTTCACAGTTAGGTTAGACTTTATCAGATGAATGGGCCCGATGGGGAAAATGGGTCATTGCAGCAGCAGAGAATATAGATAGATAGATAGATAGATAGACTAGTTACTAGTTCCTCAGCAGAAACAGTGAGTTCTCAAACATCTGCTGCTTATCTTGGCAGGTAAGAGAACCCAAACACATAGTTTGTATTACAGTGAACCAAACAGCTGTTTATGTTTCGTGTGTACATACAGGGCGTCAGTTGTGTAGGCAGTCCTTCATTGTGGCCCAGGAAACGTTAGAGTTTACACTACTAAAGATATGTGGTCAGATGCATCCCACACCACCTTGGCAAGTGGTTTGAGTGATCGGATCACAATGTAACTTGGTGGTTGTTTACACTTGTATTTAGGGCTGTCCACATGTAAAGGCTCTTAGTGTCTTTCAGGTTATTGTTTTGGTTTTAAGGTCATCTTACTGTTATAATAGACATGGTGACTGGACAATGCGTTAGTAATTGCGTTTCATTTTGTATGATTCCATAACAGAAGTTGTCTGATTGTGGGATTTCAAAGTTTATAAAATAATATTTCTTCATCCAAAACACAAGAGACACAGTGGACACTCATCTAGTTAGGTATAGCATTGTACACAGTCCAGTTTTCAATGACATGGGCAAAATATTGTGTAACAAGCTAAATATTCCAAATTATATTATCAATAAAATATACATTATATAACATTCACTGGTCAGATCGGAAAAGAAAAGATGTGTTTTGATTCATGTTGATGTTGACTATCTGGTATTACTTGGTTTAGTGATTATTTTTAAAGAATTCAAATAATGTTAATAACTTAATCACCTGCATCACTGCCCTGATAAGTGAATCACGTAAGTAAAGTTATGTTAGTTAACTGAGAACGTAACTTGGTGCTGAAGACCGTAATTTAATCCGATATTTGTGGTGTATGTTGTGTTGTCAGGACACATGAATCATCCTCAAAAATGTGAACATGTTCCCAATTTTGACAAATGTTTAAATGTAAAGTTGGCTTTGTGAATTACTGTGTAAAAAACTAATGTACAAGGTCAAATGTGTAACAGAACAGCATTTTAATGAAGTTACAATATAATGTTCTTCAGGTTTAAGAAAATATGTTTGTTTAGTACAGACACTTATTTCACATCATCATGATTTTAATATTAAGATATTAAATATGTGATGCAGAAATAATAATTCCTACATTAATCATTGATCATATCGCAATATCCGTCAAAATAATCACAATATGTTTTTACCATATGAGCCCTGGTGTGAGGGCGTATTTACTATAATCAGCAGAAGCAACTGGAAGTTAAAAGACGTGTCCTGCATAAGTCAACATCACAGACGAGGTTTGCTTGTCTACATATTGACATGGGTCATCAAAACAGGATAATAGCATGAAACAAGAGATAAATGAAATACTAACACAAGATTAGAACTTGGAAAATGTAAATTTGATTACACTGTGTCTTTAAGGGATCCTTATCAAACATTTGGTTTACTTCATGTGTTTACTGGCAGACATATTATTAACAAAGTTATTTAAGTTAAATTGTTCAGCTTTAAACGTCTGGTTATCTGTCTGGATCAAGTATATGGTGATGTGCTTTGTTAGCATTTTAAAGCTAAAAGTAGTCAGCCGTCATAAACAAGTGACTCTGATATCCAAAATGAACCACGGGGGAACACAAACATTGATTTTAGTGCCTGTTGGAGTCAAAAACACAAGATCGATCTCTTCCGTCAACCAGTGCTGCAATAACAGCCACCACCCAATTCTACAATGTGCTATATATGTCTGTGCAAAACAGGGAAATTAGTGGGTACTTCTTCATTCAGTAAAACACAATGACAAACCACAAAACAGTTCTGATAGGACACAGCTCATCTCTGCATAATTATAGTTCAATATAATAATACATCTCAGTTTGTTCAGCCAGACTTTCCCTCTGTCACAAAAAGGCTTCACAGTTGCTGATGGTAATTGTAAAAGTGGAAAATTATGAATTGCTGATAATGCACGAAGGCAAACAATTGAGCTTGACACATAACATATCCAGTGTGTCCACAAATCCCATCTGCTCATCTCAGCCATTCACCTGCAACACACCAGCGTAATTGCACACCATCACCTTCGCAATTCCTTGCCACTTGTGCAACAGAGGTCCACTGAATCTGAATCTATCCTACGGAAATGTTGCTGCAAATGAGTTGTGAAAGACGCTAGGAAGTGTGAGCCAAGTTCAGTCGGGGCCAAAGCTCATTACTTCCCTCTCCTTCCTGGACAGTAAACCGTCAAACAGACATTACAACCCAGCTGAACAGGAGCAATTCTCAACTGTAGCCTCCTCGCGTGCAAAGGTGCACCGCTTGTGGTTTGCCTTTCAGCACTTAAAACAGGTCTTTGTATTATTTACGTTGATTATTGTGACTGAAACAACTCCACCCTCTGCTGTTTATTTAGTTTAAAATTGACACTGGTTTTCTACCTGAGTGACAGTCAGCCCTTGAGGCACGATACCCTTCAGTGCCATTCATAAGCTCTCCATTTAGTTTAATAGATTTCCATAAATCGACATTATCTAAATGAGCACGGGCCACTGTAATACCATCAGAGGTAGCTTGTCAATACACTGCAGGGACATTACATCAGTGCCATTAAAATGTCCTACGAGATTCTGTTATCTGATCTGTGAAACATGAGAGTACAAGCAGCCTGCACAGCAACAGAAAGTAACAACACACACACACACACACACACACACACACACACACACACACACACTCCCAGACTCATAGACATGCACTGAACACGCATGTAGGACACACATCCATACGCATGTATTGAGCATCTAAAAAGAGGGCAACTTTATCTTCCAGGCACAGGAAGCACATATATGTCATCAAGTATCAGATCAGTTTTTCCAGCTAATCAATCATATAGTGTAGAGGCATACACAGTAATTTACCCCTGAGCATACAGTATGTGTACACTCTGCAAAATCTTTCTCTTCTCTGCTTGCTAAACAACCTCAAATCCCACATAATTTCCTTTTTCATTCTTCCAATATGAGAAAAACAACTCTGGCAGCTTGCAAACCAAATATTTCAGGGTGCTAGGTGCCTGTTAGTGAGTGCACTAAGCAGGATTAGAACCATTTTCCAGATAAAACCTTCCAGCTCGCTCAATATGCTGTGTACTGTATGCATGTGTGTGTGTGTGTGTGTGTGTGTGTGTGTGTGTGTGTGTGTGTGTGTGTGTGTATGAAATGCAGAGGAACATTGTGGAAAAGAAGCCTGCACTTTCACTGAGTGCATGTAATTTTATTATCTGGGTCTACCCACCAGTTGTTGTTTTTTTTTAATTCCTCCATGTGATTTCTTTGCTTTCAAGTGACCTAAAACATGACTCACAGACTGGTAACCTGGCTGGTCTTTAATAACATTCCCCCCAAAAAATACATTTATATCAAATATTAGGACAGAAAAGTATGTATATGCTGAATGGTTGAATAAAACCTCTTCTAAAACTCTCACAGAAAAAGCCTTTTATCTTAAAAGCAGGTTATCCCTCCACATATTAGACACATTTTTGCCAGTATCTACTTTCATAGTCAAAGTGTGTCCATAAAGTGCATCATGGAGGGAAAATAACTTGATTTCACTGCAATTTATTGCTGTTATTTTTTTTCCATTATTGCTCATAAAAAGTAGTTGTATATGTCCAATAAATATAGCAAACTTAAACTTGAGCAGAGAGATAATGATCAACATTAAGAGTGTGTCATTATTATTACCACTATGGCTGTCGGCAGGCTATCTGTTAGTTTACAGTGTTAACACAGCCCTCTCTCACCCGGACAACTGACCTCTTGTTCCGGCTGTCGTTAGGTTCAGTCCATCCTTGAGCGGAGGTGTTTTTGTGTTTGTCGTCCCGGTGATGCGGTCCTGTCCTGCAGCCCTCCACCGGTCCGGTACAGCCGACACTTGCGGAGTGCGGGAGCGGGTGTGAGCGTTTGTACTGCCGAGCAGTGTGAAGGCTGCGGGAGAGAGAGGCAGAATTACACCGGAACATGAGGGATGTTGCCTTCAAAATAAATGTATTATACCGCTGAACCGCCCAAAACAAAAAAAAATTCGTTAATAATAAACAATATTGATGAAGTCACGCAGGTTTTAAGATTTTAAAAAGGTCCAATGTGTAACATTTAGCTGGATCTATTTGTCAGAATTGTAAAATAATATTCATAGGTATGTTTTTATTAGTGTATAATCACCTGAAAACGAGAATTGTTGTGTTTTCGTTACCTTAGACTGAGACGTTTTTATCTACAGAGGGAGCGGGTCCTCCTCGTCAAATACAGACGCGAGCAGTGTTCAGTCATATCCACTGGACCTTCAAATATCGTTAGATAGTTTGACTAAGTTAGTTAGCCTACCTGTTTCATAATGCTGGAGTTTTGGGGGGATTTTAGAGGGTTTATCGATTTGCTACAACGGAAAATGGGCAAGCTAATGTTATAATGGCTCTGTAACAAAATCCAGCTCTAAAGACAACCAATCTGTATATATATAATACGTGTTTATCCATATATATATATATATATATATATATATATATATATATATATATATATATATATAAAGCCTGTAACCCTTCATTAATGTAGCCTTAATAGCCGTCTTATTTTGAAGGTTTTGAGCGGAAGCGTTGTTCATTAATGTGGTGAACTTGACACTAGCGCTCTCTCTGTGCAGAGTCCGCCGGTCCACCCAGCTCTCCTCCCTCTCCTCCCTCCCTCCCTGCTCTCAAATAAAGACAGCCTTGTTAGTTGATTCAAGACACCGTTACAGCAGCAGGAAACACTACTGCCTTTCATTTACAAACACAACAAGAAGTCCGACTGACTCCAATAAATGTGAAGTCCACATAAAGATCCAGCTTAATCTAAGCTGACCTGAGGAGGGGTTTGTCTGCAGCCTGGGGTCTTAATCAGGCAGCAGGCAGGAAACAGACACACTAAGTTAGACCACAGTGCCATATGGATACACTGGTGTTTGACCAGACTTCACAATATTCCTCTAAACTTTATATGTTACCTTATTACCATTACAGAGTGGTGGAAGAAGTACTCTAAATGGCAATAGCACGGTGTAAAAAATACTCCCCAAAAGTAGGCTATTGGCATCAAAATAAGGGGTGGATGTAGAGAAATATTCATGGGGTGGCAAGAGGGTGGCAGAAATATATGCTGATTTAATTTCAGACAATCACATAGATCAATTTGTTTGAAAAAGCCCCAAAATTAGGATATTTTAACTCAAAGACATTACATTATTGTGGCTCATTAGTCAAGCACTGGATAGAATTATATAAAGGTGGTATTAGAAATGAGTAGACTGTTTTATTTTTCCAAATACATGTTCAAGTTAAGCCCGTCACTTAGTCTAAAATGTATTCATAATAGATTCATGTTTTAAACAACAGCATTTTGCACCAAACTCTAGATCTGCCCCGGTGTACAATATTCATAGGAGACTGTTGACAACTGCAAGTATTAGGACACACTTAAAATGCATACAACTACATTATACTGTGAGAAAACCAGTTTATTAAATGTTAATAATATCCATAAATGCTTAATAGGCTGATGAAAACAATTAAGAGAAAATAATCGGCAGATAAATTCATTATATAAATAAATGTTAGATGCAGTCCTAAACAAAAGCTCTGCTGGATCTGGTTCTTAATAATATAACTGATCTATAAACTTTTAGTAAATGACTCGTTAGATATTAATAAAGTTATTATTTACAACTTTAATTCATACTCTTATGTCTTACTTTAGGATTAATGAGCCACATCCCGGTTTTTGGTCCACAGAGGCAGGATAATGGAGGTCATTTTGACCTTTGATCTCACATAATGACTCACACTGGCACACTCTTAAAGCTAATGTGATAATGCAGTCTCTCACACACGCACCCTTACGCCCATCAGGATAATGTAATTTCCACTTGGACCTATAATAAGATGATCATGTGATATGAGAGTACATGGATATAGAGAGTCCTATGACCAGATAATGATAGACCACAAGACCTGAGCACGAAAGATCCCTTCAAAAGACCTTTAAAAAGACCCTATTTTGATATTCTTACATTCTTAAAATGACACTTACTCCTTTACTACCTTCTGCATCACTAAAAACCCCAGAATCTGGGTAAATATTTCTAATTTCAGTAGGTTTAACTAATGGACATAACCTTTCTCCTGCTTCACTGGAAGGTCCTTTCTCAGTGTTTGCGAACTGGCAGAATCATGCTCGTACATACACATCTTAAACTGAGATTTAAGGTGAGCACCGACAGACTTTCCCCTCTTCATAAGATAAATTTGAAAACAGCCCTCTGCACATTCATCATTCTGCCCCGTGAAGCTCAAACATACACTCAGTAGAGGGAAACCACACCATCTTGAACCTCTAGATTAAATTATACCTTACATTCCCTCTAAATTGATCACACTGCTGGTGACATGTATACTCTGCACGCCTCAAGTAAAGTGAATAAGTGGGTAAACTGGCCTAAATGTAGGCATAATTGGGAGAATTTAAACACCATATTCTCATATATGACAAAACAGTGACCCCATGTGGTTGACTATGAAACTGCAGCTTCCACACAAGTGCACCAGAGGAATAATGATTCAGAGAGATCAATAGTCACAAAACATCAGATCAGTAGGTTTGTCTCTTTCCAACATGCCAATCTGAGTCTTCCCTTTCATTGTCCCTCCTTTACCTCGAGGAGTTGCATCATTTTAATCTGTGATAGACTGCGACATCTCGGGGAAGGCCCTTTTTCTCTGCACTGTCCTCCCGAGACCTGCCCGTGATGAAGGGTGGCGTTAATACACATGGACCGACCTGAGGAGAACCTCCGTCCCCTGTCGAATATAATTCCTGAACGAAGCCTCCGGGCGTTACTTTGTTTCTTTGAAGACTTGCAGCATTTTTACATTACAAAGCAGACAGACCTGGAGAGACTGGCCCTGTGCAGACTCATCATAATGTCATCACGCCTGTTGGATGTTTCATGTACAAAGTGATAACAGCAGTGTCACCATGCACAAGGGGGAAAAAAGACAATTAGGACCATAGATGTGAACGTGCCAGCTTGTTGGAAGCAACGTCCTGAGGGCTTTCTTGCATGTTAATGAGGCAACTGGGAATCAGTTTGTTTGTTCGTAAAACATGTGACAGGCTCCTCCTTAACCGAAATGTTTAATGAATTAAATGATAATAAATCCTTGACCAAAAATCACACAGTATATGTTTTTTTTTTTAATAATAACCATCTTAACAACTCATAAAAAACAAAATACAAAAATATACAGGCAGCTCAAAGTCGAACTACAAGTCAAACCTTAAATTTACAAAAGCAAGCTCTCTGGGAAATCTACTTAAGGTGGGCAACGTTTGTTATGTTTACTTTGTGTACTAGCTGTTCATGTATTTTTTTTTTTAAAGAAACTATGAAACTACAGTAGCTGGCTTGTATTACTCATACTCAACACACAAGAGCATTTTTCACATGTGAACCTTAATGGACACGCCTGAGGTTTTGTCTTAAATGCATAGCATGTTAAAAAGGTAAAAATCAGCAACTAAAGCAGTGTTTTCCAACCTTTTTGGCTAGAAAACAAGTTGATATCTACCCTCATCAAAGCACGACAACCACAGTTAGATTTCAGAGTGGTTAACAAAGTATCCAGGATTTGACTGTAAAATAAAGAGAAAAGTCAGAATAAATAAACATAATTTTGTGCAACAGCAATATAATTTGTTCCTTCATATCCCTTTAATCATCTTGTGATACTTCACCTCCGGGTTGGGAACCACTAAACTGCTAAAGCGAAACTTTGACTTTTGTTTTGTTCAGCTCTCTAATGTGGCTACAGGAGCCCACGTGAAGAGATGGGTCGACATTTTCCCTCTCGTTGTCGTTGTCGTTTCCTAACCCTTAAAGTTCTGAAAGATCTCTGCAGCGTCCAACCAGGACCTGAAGCAGGCCAGGCCTCGGTCCCTGATCTGTTTCCTGCCTTTGTCTGTGATCACGTCGCCATTCTCCTTCACAATCACCAGTTTGGGCACCGCTGTGATCTTGTAGCGCTGCTTCAACTCACTGAGAGAGAGAAGAGAGACAAAGAAAGGGATTTATTACAAGAACACACCTATAATGACTGCTGCTTTTCTTTTTCTATACTTGACAGTGCTGGAATATAAAGTACATACACTCGCATATACATTTTATGCAACTTCTGTACTTCTGTAGGGAAATTGTACTTTTTACTACATTTATCTGACAGCTGGACTTACTTTTCATATTAAGGTTCTTTTTAAATCCTATAATAAGCATATCAAATCTAACTCATTGTTATAAGGTTAATTAAAACACTGAAATGTATTTAAAGTAGCAATAATCAGCTCCCCTCGGTCTGCTGCAACTTAAAATGCAGCTAATGCATCAGCGATAATTATCCAAATACTATAATATATAATACAGAGGCCACTTGACCTGCACAGCGGGCACTTTTACATTTTATATGTACATTTGAAAGTGGTGGAACGTAATTATATTATATAAAAAGTACACACATAAGTTTGAATTTAAAGATACTTTACATTTGTCTACCCTTCTTACAGAAATACTGTACTTTTGACTCCACTCCACTTGACAGCTACAGCTACAAGATTCTTTAAAGATTCATATTTTACAAACAAAACACACAATCGGCTATGAAACGTGTAATTTAATCGCTTTTTTGTTTATAAAATGTCAGCAAATAGTGAAAAAACTTTCTTTATAAATTCCTTGTTTTATCCGACCATCTGTCAAAGACCCAAAGATATTCTGTTTACTATCATATATGACAAAGACAAGCAGCAAATTCACATATTTCAGAGGTTGGGACCTGAAATGATTACCTGAATATTGAAAACAGTCATTTAATCAACTTTACTGTCATATTTCCATTTCTGCACCTTTTGTACTTCACAACAGATCAGAGGGACAATTGTGCAGATCTTGTGTCCATAAGGTGTAAACAGCGCAGTCTGTGGATAGTACAGAATATAGCACAGAGATGGTCCCCCTTAAGGACCGGAGAGTCCATAAAAAGACTGGTATCTGAAAGGAGTCTATAACTGTTAGCAATTTATTGGAAAGAGGCAAAAGTGTCATCTGTGTACAGATCTGAGATCTTCACAATGACCATGTCTAGCCAGATATCATCAACAGTCATGCAGGGAGGGTGGGAAAAATGGGTTACTGATTTAGTGTGTTTGTTGCAGAAGGGTTTGTTTACCAAAATGTTTTCAGAACTGTTTTAAAATATTGAGTACATTTACAGTTTTTGAGTATTTGAGTATAACAGATGAAATAGCTGTCATTTAGTCATTTATAACTAATGGGTCCGAGGTTGTGGCATTTGTTGTATTGATCTACGAAATTATAGGAGACGTCTAAGAGACTTACTGGGCTTACCTCCATATTCATTTATCGTGCGATTGTTTTTGCAACTGGTACTCTGCTCGTTCAGACGCTGAGTGTCAAATTCTGCTTTTAAAGTAAGAAGCTCTTTAATGAGTGCAGGGGATGGGGGATGGTGCATACTCAGTATGTCGCCTGCCAATAAGCCACATAAGTTCGGGATAGGCTCTTTCCACACTTCCTCCTCCTGCAGCGTGAATATGAATTAATTAAACCTCTGATGTAATCTTTAAACGTTTCCCATAACAGAGATGCTGGGAGGTCTGGAGCGACATTTGAATCAATAAAGCAATCAGTTTTAAAGAGAGACAGTACGCGGAGCTAATAGAAGATAAAGTTTTGTCACATTCTTCAGTAGCTAAAAGACCACAGTGTGGCCACCTCCATTTCTCCTCCCCTCCCATGTGATTAAAAATGCTGATGCATTGTTATTGATTTAACTATGTAAATGTAATTTATAAGCTTCCCCCTTGAATAGCTACAAAATACTGCACACACGATGGAGTGAAGCAGTACTGATTAGTGGATTAATTAATTAATTAATTAGTTGTTTGAATTTTTCAAGCAAAAATGCCCAAATTCTCTGGTTCCAGTATCTCAAATGTACATTTTTTGCTGGTTTTTCCTTCGTTTATATGACTGTAAACTGAACGTTTTGAGGGTTTTGAACTGTCGGTCGGACAAAATGAGCTCATTGGAAACTGGGGAGGAAACTTTTAACCATTTTCTGACATTTTAGAAAGCAAGCGACTGATTTAAGTATTCAGTGTTATTGTTGTGTAGTTAAATTACTTTCACCAACTGCAACATTAAAATACTGCTTACACATTAATGCTCCACTAAAGATTTAAATACAACATAACACAGACAGGGGCCAACGTTGTCTTCACATTGGAGTACTTTTGACAGTTTAATGTAGCTGTTAATGCATCTGTAAATCTACTTTGAATGCAGAACTTTTAAAAAGGAACACTGACACTTGACCTAGTGCAATTAAATATATTTATATACAACGTTACTGCACATCCATTTGATTTTGATTCTCTCCTACTTAACATAAACATAACACACTTAACCACAAAGATTCAGTCCAACATGGTGCATGAGACAAAACATGTAAAAAAAATTAAATACATTTAAATGAAACGGATCATTATGTTGAGGCCAGTGTCAGTCTCAGCTGTGGGAGGCAGGCTGTCTGCAATTGAACCTAATCCCTAACAGGGTGACCCAAGTAAGCATTTTACATAAGCTGGAGCACAGCCTAACAGACAGTGTTAAATCCTAACAAGATAAAACACGAGTGGAGCTAATTATGTTTGGTTTTTTTTGCCTATATTGAGTGTAAAACAAGGAAACATTCACTGACTTTAAAAGTTAAATAACCAAACTTCTCACTGGCTTTATATCAGATGTTGACACTCACTGTTTGTAGTCATCCGTCCAGGGCAGAGCCAGCCAGTCTCCGTGCATATCGTGGTAATACTCAACCATGTCCTCGGACGACTTGTCGGAGGAGACGAAAACTATCTCGAACTGAGCAGGAGGCTCGCTCTCTTCCACCAGCTCCGTGTAGAAATCACACAGGATGGGTGTGAAGTCTCGACACGGCGGACACCATCCTGCAGAAAAGTAGATCCCCACCACTTTATTCCTCAGCGCCTCATCGGGCTCGACGAAATCACCGTCTTTGTTAAGAAGTGTCCGCCCGGTAAATACCTCCACCATGTCTGCTAAGAGTCGACACACTTCCAAACCAAAGACTCCGAGAGGTGTGACGGCTGTGTAAGTGTCCCTGTTAGCTCATGTTTCCCCCCGTGGTGTCCCTGAAGAGGCTTCTCCCACTTCCCCGTAATATTTACCTTTCTGCGCAAGCTACTTACAGCCAATCCTGTTTAATCACCTGCGGACCAATGAGGACACATGAAGACGGTGTTGTAGTTCATTAGCCATGTGGGTTTCTTAAAGGGTGTTGGGGGGAGGGAGGGAGGGAGGGAAGGGAGAGCTGCATTCAAACGCTGCCTGTATGCTAGTAATTTGGAGTTTAGCTGCAGCACGACGTTTCACGGCACTTTCTGGTAGCTCAGAGGCGCGCATGCGCACAGACGCACGGCGCTTGCTCTTCATTTAGTGGCTACCACTTCTGGCTTTTATGATTCAGATAGATTGAGCTCTGTTTTCACCTATGATTGGTGGGTGTGCACATAGTGTATCACTGAAATGATCTAATGTCATTATGTTAAAGCTTATCATTTCCAGAATACCATAATTTAAAGCTGCAGTAGGTATCTTTTACTAAATTAACTTTTTGTCATATTCGATTAAACTTTAACTATGCCCTGACAGTAGTGCATGAGACAGATAATCTGAGAAAAAATCAGGTTCCTCTGGGTCATCGTAGTGCTCCTCATGGCGTACACCAGGCCTCAACTAAAACAACCAATCAGACCCGAGAAACATAGAAAGACGCTTTTAATTGGTGGCTTGAAGATAGTTGTTGATAGATTGTTAAGTCTCATTTCTCAGCGTTGGTATTTTACAATGTCTGAATGAGGCTCAGTGATCAACTGTCATTCTCCGCTGTGATTGGTTATTTTTGATTGGGAGCCAGAGGAACACATTATTATTATCTGTCTCGTGTACTTCTGTCAGCACATGATGAAAGTTTTCAGCAAATATGACAAAAAGTTACTGCAGCTGTAACATTATGTTTGGTATTGAATAATGTAAACACATCAAACGCTATTACACATTTGTATTGACCATTTTATTTATTATGAGCTATGTGTTCACTGTATGTTGGTACACTGTGCTTGAATGTAAATGTTCAAAGTGAGATGTTTCTGGATTAGAGCTGCAAAACATGTTTGGTACATACCCCAACAAATGTCACATTGTTATAATTTTAACAGTTTTTCAGTGAAAATTGTGATGCAAAAATTATAACCCTGAACTATATTGTAACCACAAAATATCTGTAAAAAATAATCACAGTATGATTTTTTACCATATTGTGCAGCTTGTGCACTGTATATAACAAATAGCATACATTTTATTTTAAATCTCAGATGGGAGCTGGCTCAGAGCTGACTCACACACATCACTACTAGCTTGTTTCTTTTTTCCCAATAAACTTTCTTTATTTAATTCAATTCAATTCAATTTTATTTGTATAGCGCCAATTCATAGCAGAAGTTATCTCAGGACACTTTTCAAATAGAGCAGGTCTAGACCGAACTCTTTATAACATTATTTACAGGGACCCAACAGTACCACCATGAGCAAGCACTTGGCGATGGGGGCAAGGAAAAACTGCCTTTTAATACAATAAAGAGGTACAATAAAAATTGTCATACAAAAACAGAGCAGTAAAGAACAACCTTATTCAAGGAGTCCATTCATTGTGAGTTCAAATAAAATGTACTATTTGATTAAAGTGCTTTACTGTTCAACAGCAAACCGATGAAAGCATGATTGATTTATGAATATATAACATCTAAATTGAGTTGTCTGTTAACGTTTTTCTTCTTTTTAAGCTATGCTTATACAATTATTAGAACTATTAAACACAACCTGCTAGGGCAGGCATAATATTGCCTTATTAATGTGTATTTTAGATGTATATGATCTCAAAATAGTGTAATAATATCAAAAAAGTTTTATTTCACACTCTTTATAAGTGAATAATCAAGTTTTAATCAAATTGATAGTATGATCTGATTATGTTATTAATGGCCTATACATAAAATATTTTGTACAAATATTCACAAAACACAGATTCAATCATCAGACCTGGACATGCAAAGACAAAAATACTTACTGGACTATAAACAGCATATAAAATATAAAACCTTGCGTGCATCAAACTGAAGCATGGTAGTGAATATGTAGAAGGGTTGATAGTAAACATAAATAATGAAATGAAGAGTCTGATGTAAGTTTTTACTAAAAATGACATTGTGTGTTGTGCTGCATGGCAGTGGAAACTAGAGCCTGTCATTACAGCACCCTTTCTCACAAGATGATCTCATCTTGTGTAAAGAGATTGCTTTTCGATTAAGGAGGTGAAGGAATTTCAGTAAGTAGATTTCTTCTTGTCACTGAAGTTGACCCCTATGGCCAGGACCTCTACTCCCGCAGATCTGGCTGGAGATTGATGGTGGCTGTCAGGGCCAGCGGGTGTAGTCCATGCGTCAGTGTGTGGCAAGAGTACAACAGTTTGTTCACATTCTGAAGATGAAGGAGCTCAGTTATACATGGACCTTTGTCCTCCATTATCCAGGTAGTGATTCAGGCATCTTTTTATAGCGTCACATGTAATTTTCTCGTCCTACAGGCCTGCGAACACTTCAAAAGCAATTGAAGCCCTAACCTGAGACAAAAAGATCATGTCTGAATATCTTTATCGCACATGTCTAAATATATTTACTGCACATGTAATCACGTTTCATTTCTACAATGTTTGATCATTCTAAATCTTGTGCCATGTCACCTTCACCCGAGTGAACCCTCACCTGATTGCTCCCCAAGGTATCATAAATGCAACAGAAGTGTTCATGAAGTGTACACGATCAAAAGTCTGCCCGGGGTTCATCAGTGCAGGAAAATAAAACATTTTTGTAAAACTAGAAACAAAAGTGCCTCTGAGAGAACAGAAAGGACAAACTGGATCAGTGGGAGTACTAACAGAGGGTTGCTAATTGGTAACAGCTAGAAAGGCCAAGGCAGATAGTTTTTAGGGTACAGGGACGGCACCAAGGATACAATCGTATACTGCTGCTATTAGATATTTAACATTAGCCACTATCCATTAAAATAAATAGTGCCCGACCGATGTGGGATTTTTCAGGCCGATACCAATTTTAGAGGGGAAAATTCCCTGATTACCGATATGGTGGCCGACTTAATAACAGAAATGAAGGGGGGAAAATAGAAAGAAAAAACTAAATCACATCAACTTCCATCCTCATAATCCCACTCTTTTTTTAGCTGAAATAAAAATACCACTAACATTATATACCAGAAAAAACAGTTTTCATATTGGCACATATCAGATAACATATACACAGATCCCGATATGTCTGTGATTTTTGTCAGAGTGGAAATGCCATATGCCATAGATTATGACAGTTACAATTTTCTAGGATTTGAGGACATGAAAGCCATGAAATTTGGATGCTCTCCCCTATCTGACACCCCTTACGTTATATGACCGAAGCCCCTGGTGACCCTTAGGCTTCCCCTGGTGGATGGGTTGATTTGGATCCTGAGAGTGGACGGTCGCAGGAGAAGACCTCCAGATCACAGTGTGAAAGAAAGAAAAGTTGAACAACGTACTTAAAAAGAGAGAATGACGACACATGAGATGAATCAATCAATCAAAGCTAAAATACAATAGGAATAACAGTGACACTGCCATAGAGGAATACACATCTACTCACCATAGTCCATTTCAGGCAATTGAAAGCTGCTTTAAAATATTGCTTTAGAACCAAACAATGATGAAAAACTAGTCAAATTCTATATGGCATACTTGCTCATGGTATTGTGTTGTCAGTGTTAAGTTAAACCAGAAGATGTGGAGAAAAGCTGCACTACATTGCCCCAAGGCGTAAAGAGTTTGTTGAAGCAGTTAAAAGTAGTTATAGAAGAGTAAACTCAAGCCATGGTTGAGCTTCTGGTATTTATATACATATATATCTATAAATATATAGATATATATGTATGTGTATACAAATCTCTCATTTTTTATGTAGAAAATGCAGAGGTCAGTGTGCCTCTATCTCTCCTTGTTCCTTTAGTGGAGTGGAGTGAGGTAATTTGGAAAGAAACCCGGCCATCCTGTCTTTGCGAGCCCTTTGCTGCCCATTAGTGGAGTCAACTGCTCTGTTGAAACACTGACTTTTTTTTTACAGGGAAGTTTTCTATCTTGAAACAATTTCCACCTCTAACATGACCTCTAATTCCAATTTATCCAACATGCGACGGCTGGTGGAACAACTGAAGCTCGAGGCCAGCGTGGAGAGAATCAAGGTAAAGAAAAGAAATGCAACATTAGTGGTAAAAAAAAGAATATCTTTAAAGACCTTGAGCGTTAACTAATGAGCTTTTCTTGATTTTGGGATTTTTAAACATTGTTATAGTTACAAAATAAAAGATCAGATTCAACACATTACAGTACATTTTGTTACTTTTATCTTATGAAATATATTTATTTATTATATTCCCATTTATCTCCTTACAGCCTGTTCATTTAATTGTCTTTTAATGTACTATATATATTTTTTTGTTTTATACTCTTATTACACTGATGTTGTAGCATGTTATTTATTAACCAAGGGACAAATGGACATTGCAAAATTAAACTAAAATACATGTGAATTTAGAGGATGATGGGAAAGTATTGCTCAGTGCTCTCCCCACACACCTTGGTACATCAAAATGTGGCATATGACAGATTTAGATATTTGTAAAAACAAAGATCATTAATAATGAAGTTATTAAACACACACACATACACACAGATAGTCGAAGTATTTAACGCCCACTTTTAGGATGAGATAATGTCCTTTTAATATTGACTGCTACGTTGTCCCAAATAGGGTCAGCCTGCGCCACTGTATTTTAACATTGTTCATGATGGTGGTTCTTGGAGAGAGTAATATTTTCTGAGGTGGTACTTGGTGTAAACATTTAGCAAAACAATGCTTTAGCCCATTAGGGAGCCCCCTCATCAATAAGGGTCAGGACTTTATCAGTCTCTAATAAGCCATCAAGTCTGCAGTTAAAAGGCTATTAATTAAAGGTTCTTGTGTTTCTCAAACTTTAGTCGCCTGCAATCGGAAATGATAAGAAATCATTAATAAAAGGTTGTTTTTTAAAAGTTGTTTAGAAAGGGGTTTTGATCCAAATGTCCTGCAGCCCTTTTCTAGAAGGTAAGTGGTCCAATGATCTGTTGGAGGGGTCGCTAATATTAATTAAATTGCAAGCCAAAAATACAGGAGGATTTTCTATAACCTGGCAACCCAAAAGTTATTCTTATTAATGGATTGTAACTGATCCATTAACCATTAATAAAGCCACTAATTAATGCTCATGAACTCTTAATTAAAAGGTGACTAATCAGAAAGTGGTTTCATCTAAATAAACACGTCTGTGTCTGTGTTCCCAGGTGTCCCAGGCGGCTGCAGAACTCCAGCAGTATTGTCTGCAGAACGCAGGCAAAGATGCCCTGCTGGTCGGAGTCCCCACAGGCAGCAACCCCTTCAGAGAACCGCGTTCCTGTACTGTTGTGTGAAGGTCAGAGTCCACGAGGTTTACAGCCTTTATTTGCACGTAACACCTGTTACTGTAGCAGAATTTCAAATAAAATAAGTGCAATTTCTTTGCAGAGGATGAAGAAGTGGAAACCACAGTGGCATATTACACACTGAAGAAAGGACTCAGAAGTTGTTTTTAACCATTATTATGTTAAGAAAAACACATGAAAATGAGGTTTTACAATTTGTTTTCCAGATAAATGTCTTGTTTTACTACATTTATGTACAGACAAAGTTGATTTTTTTTAACACATTAAAGGGTCATACATAAACCCACTTCATCTCAGTCTTCATTTAAATACCTTCTGAGAGCTAATGCTGTATGAGTGTGATCTGTTTTATACAGTGGACAGTGGCCGAGTCATCTATGGATTAGACAAAGCGGATGTTTATAGCCGGGCTCTAAATTACGCCTTGGAATCTCGCAGTGTACGAACTTCCTGGTGTTCAGTCTAAGTTAGGAGCACGGCCAGAGAGAGGAAACGGGGTCTTCCTGTTCAAAACTGCAAAGACACTCAACAGAGAGTCACACCTAACTCCGCTTATGAGCTTTCAAAGACTGTGGAATTTATTTACAAGCTCAAGGCTATGCTAGATTAGAAATAAAACATGGATCACCATGTTGTGGAGATTGGATATTATGACTCATGTTTTATTTAAGTGTGTTTTGTCATTTAAGACAGCGGTTTGTTTTATTTATTTTTTATATATTCTGTATAAAATGGAACTTATATATTTGAAGATGTGCACAATAACCCCAGAAACGGTCTAGATCAGCCTAAAAGAGGTCTAGCCAGTCATGAGACAGCTCCCTACTTTGCCACTTCCTTTTCCTCTAACATTGTTCTTGGACGAGTCTCAATAGTTTTCCCTCCTTTGCTAACAACCTTTGTTCAATGTATACCACACTGAGGGTGTCAGAGGTTCCTCCCTTTTCACATTTTCGTCGCATGAGAATGAGCAGAAACAGAATGGGATGCAAAATAGGGTCATCGTACGTGGACACCAAAAACCAGAAAGCAATGCAAAGCCGAGTCACACGTGAATATCAGTTATATAAATATTTTTAACCCCAAATAACTTGCAAAATGCAGGAGGTCTGACAGAAGAAAGCTTTCCAGTTACTGTGGCTGCATTATATTCTGTTCTGGAGCTCACCATGTTTTAAAGAAGTTACCAGAGTCCTTTGAGGGATTGAAAATAGATTTTCCTAATTTAAATTAAATTAATTTAATTATTAAAACAATAAAACTTATACTTATAGCAGTGGTTTGTCACATATGTTTGTTATATATTTAACATTATCATCTTACATATATTTCTACATGTGCTTGATAATATTTATTTTTAAATTTTGTTAATTTTTGTTAACTGATTTAATGTAATGTGAGTAAGTTAATTTTACACAAAGTATCAGGTAGTAAGATTTTTACTTAAAAAACAAGTGGTCCTTTAAGTAAATAACTAATGTTTATTCATATAGTTTCCTATTTTACACTGCAGGGAGGTTTTTGCTTCTGTTAGGTGCAGTGTTTTATGAAGTTAACATGTCAACTTACGCCATCTGCTGGTCGTGTATAGAGAACAAAAATATCACAATTTATTTTTTCTCAAGGCAGCAAAGCCAGTAGTAGAAGAAGTATTTAGATAATTTTAAAAGTAGTAAAACAAGAATATAGAAATACTCGATTACAAGTGAAAGTCTCGTGTATTAAAAATGTCCCTTAGGTAAAAGTAACTAAGTACCTCAAGTTAGAAAAAAGGCCCATATTCTCTTATAATATCTGTAATGTATAAGCAGCATTTTACTGCAGTAGTTGTGGAGCTAATTTAAGTATTAAATTAAGTATTTTTTTATGCTGTTGGGTATAATGATGCTTCATATTTCATAAGCTAACCATGTTTTTTGTTTATAAGATCTTAATTTATAAAGTGATGCATAACTACAGCTGTAATTATGTAGAGGAGTACAATACTTCCCTTTCAGTATAAAATGGAAATACTTATGTAACATCCATTCGTACTTTCACATTTAACTATCTTTCGGTTGATTCATACTCTGCAGGAGTCAGTTTAGACTAACAAGAAGTCCAGATGTTGCAGCAGTGTGTTTCAGTGTCTGATTTCAGTGGTTCTCCTACATTTATCTACTCTCTGTTGGTCCAGGAAACCTGCACAATTCAGTTCAGATATCATACCCCTCTGTGTGCAATGTTCAAAAGATCAAAGAACTCTGTCTCACCAATTCGTACTGTGTCATAGATTACAACAACACACTTTTTAGGGTCACTTATTTAATTTTTTTGCTCAAACTTTTAATATGGAGCTTCCCCCTGTTCTTTAACTGCACAATTTGGAGTGGTGGAGCCAGGTAAGCTGAAGAATAGGTATGAAGCTCAGACCCATTATATATTCACCATGCTGTTAGTCAGAAAATGGATGCTACAATTGGATGGAAATCTGAGAAGCCCCCAACGTTGATTTACTAGAGAAACACTCTTTCAGAAAATGTGGGGACCTGTCGTTAGTCAGATTGAAAATTGATTGAAAAAAAGACTGTAAGCAACAGCTGGTCTGTCATATTCTTTTTCCTCTTGTGTTACCACCAATGTTTTTGTTTTGTTTTGGTGCATTTGTGTTTGTTTGTCTGTTGTTTCTCTATAACATTATTCAGATAGGATATTACAGACATAACATAACATAATGGAAAATATGAATGGACTGAACTTTCCTGTTCAACTGGCTGTTGTGTCTTGTTTATGAGTGTTTGTGTGTCTGTCATCTAATTCTTAAGAAAAGCAAAGTCAGGTATAAAGGTGCAGTTGTTCTTTAACAAGGAAATAACCTGAATAGCTTGAACGGAGCCGTATTCTCCTTTAAAGGTGTGGGCGGGGAGCAGAGCGCAGAGTTGGGTTTCAGTGCCACCCCCCTTTTTCTATTCTCTCACACACACACACACACACACACCGTAGTGCAGTCCAGACACAGTCCAGGGAGACACTTTGGGCTGTGTGTGCTTTGGTTATAGCCTCAAGCTTTCCTGGATGACTATGAACGTAACTGCCATCAATGAAGGACCACAATACGACACTCCACTGGGGAACTTGTACACACCTTTTTCAAAGGTCACTGACCTCTGAGAAAGGATTAATCCAGTTTCACTCTTATTTCTCAATGACACTGAACTTTCATGTATCGGATGAGCAATTTTATCAAGTGAGGAGATGGCCATGGTGTACAGACTCTATGTAGGAATAGTAACAGGTAAGATTTACTGTTTTACCCTTTTATTGAATCAGTATTCACCTTCCCTACTTATTGGTTGTAAACAAAAGGCTGGTTTTACTACAATATAACAGTTTGGGAACGTCAATGAGACACTTTAGATGAGTGTTTACATAAAATTATTATTTTTAATGTATACTCCTAGGGAAAGTCTTCTCTGGGGACATACGTAGTGTTGTTTTGATTGTTGACGCACCTTTACAACATCTATCTGCCTTCAAAGTAACGCAGCCAAAGCAGGTTTGGAGAAAGTGCTCTCTCTCTCACTGAGCTATTTTTGTACAGTAGACTTCGGTGTGTGTTAATGACTGAATGAAGTCCAGCAGTATATCCCCTGATATCATTAATCATTGTAAGAACAGGTTTCCCAGAAAGTGGAATGAAATAAACCTCATATATGCACAGGTTGGAGAGGATGAGGTGTCTGTGGTAAACTTGTATTTGTGTGACGGACTGTTAATATGGTTTTGCTTAGAGCAGTAAAAGTGTGTGTGTGTGTGAGAGAGAGAGAAGGAGAGAGAGAGACAGAAGTGGGCGTGAATGAGAGAAATCGGGGCACTCTCTCCTACCTTACATGGCTGGCTGGCATCATGACTCAGCAGCTATTCACTAATCATTGTGATCATGTGTTTTTTCCTGTCGTCTGTTGTGTGGATCTCTCTACTGTAGGTGGAATGTTTTTTGCGCATTGTGGATGTGCTTTGTATTTGTTTGTTGTAAGTGTGTACATATATGTGTGTGTGTGTGTGTGTGTGTGTGTGTGTGTAGGTGATGATTGTCTTTTTGTTTGTGTTTCTGGCTGCAGCTCTGGCCTTATGCAAATACTCCCTGGCAGAATGGAATACCACAGACGAGTCTGCCAATCGGACTGTGTCCCATTGTCATCACCATGGCAACGGAGACAATTGCACAGGTAGATATGGACAGGTGGCGAGAGGCGGTTCCTCCGGTGCCATAAATAGCTGCTTTGAAGTTTTAAGGTGGAGGATTAAGCACAGATGTGGATGTAAACATGCGAACACACCTACGCATAGAAACAGGAAAGGAATAGGATTAGAGGCATTTAATTGTGGAGGAGTCATATTTCAGGCTGTCGAGAGAGCAGGAGGAGTAATTAAAGTGCCTGAACTGAGGCAGGAGCCTGGACTATCAGCGTCTTCAAAAAAAAGAATAAAACTCTTGTGGAGAGGCAGGGTCAACAAACTCTGCTGAGTTTGTTGTAATCACAATAAATTATACTCTTGTACTTCCTTAATAATATTTCAGTTGTTGTTTGATGGATTAACTGCGTCAAAGGAGAAAATAACAATAATTTTCTCTATAACAAGTAATTTAGGAGCTGTTTTTATCGAAATTCCTTTTTCATGCTTCTTTGCTTCTTTCTTGCAGAGAGCTAATTTATAATACTGAAACTGCTCTCATGTCTGTACTCTAAATATGAAGCAACAACCAGACAGGAAACAGGGGTTAACATATCATCTCAACTCCCTCTAAAACCACTACCGTCTCAACTTTATAGGCCTACTATGACTGTAGGATGCCATGCTCTGAAGTCCCATTGATTAAAAATGTCCCATTGGACCAAAAGCCCATTTGTCCGACAGCCCATCATCCTGAAAACAAACGGCCATTGCTCCAAAGAACCACTGTTCCTTAACTCACGTATGTAAGTGAACTAACATACAGAATTTTACCCAAACCATCTTTTCCTACAAGTATTTTTGGTGCCTAAACCTAACCAAACTGCGACTGTTTCGCAACGTTAACCATGTGTTTATTATTGTTGACGAATGCCACCTGACTATGAAGACGAAGGACCTCTGACAAAGGTTACCTGACGTTTACACACTAATACACTAAGATATTAAGAGCAAAAAGAAGTCCAGAGAGAGTGTGTATTCTTGGGACATGGAGACATGAAGCAGTGCTTTTGTTTTTTGAGATAACATGCAGTTGGAAAAACTGGCTTTCAGTCCAATGGGTAGTTCCTGGCTTTTGTCCAGATTAAACAAATGAGATGTTAAATATCTGGTATGCTGGTAGACATTTTTATTCCTTTCCAGGCCAGCTGTTTAACACATTAAGGCGAGCTAAATTTCCAACAATCTCAGTGTGTAACATTTAGGAGGATCTATTGACAGAAATGGAAAATAATATGCATAGTTAAGTTTTAACTTGTGTATAATCACCTGAATATAGGAATTGTTGTCTTTTCACTACCTTGAATACCTTAGAATGAGCCGTTTTAATCAGATGCTGAGGGTCACCTTCCATGGAGTCCGCCATGTTGGACCGCCATGTTTCTACAGTAGCCCAGAACGGACAAACACTGGCTGTAGAAAGGGCTGTTCACGTTTTTTGTGTGTTGAATGAGTGAGTTGCAATCTGTGATTACACCGCTAGACGCCACTCAATCCTACACACTGGTCCTTTGAGCTAAATGAAGCAAACTGCCGGCTACAACGTAACTCCCTTTAAAACCACAACAAATAATATTTACGCTATCATTTTTGTAAAGATTGAACACATGAGATATAAAGATGTTAATTAGTTAGTTTAAAGGCTGGTAGACATGGCTAGCTGTTTTCACTCGTTAAGTTAAGCTAAACAAACCAACTGCTGGCTTTAGCTTCATCTTTAGCGGACAGACAAGAGAGTAATAAACATATTTTCCAAACTATTCCTTTGAACTTTGTAACTGGAGATTTTTCTTTTCAGCTGTGAGGTCATGGCATCAAAGCTGGATCATGTTTCAGAGAACAACCGAAGCGCTCTCATTGATGTTACCTGAACAGCAGTATTCTTTTACAAGCTCATTTTCAAACATAATCTCATGGGAATGGGTTGTAAAGATAGCCCGTAGTATAAAAAGCACTGTGTGTAAATGGCGGTCAGAAGTTCAGCATTATGACCCACTAGCAACTGTGGTAGGGTGTGTTTTAGTTGTTTGTGAGCAAGCCATAGGGAGAAGAAGAGGAAGAGATAGACGGGGAGAATGGGAACTATAACTGTAGTCCACCTTGGCGTGTGTTTAATTCAGTAAAGAACTGTAATAATTGCGACACGTGGTCAATAATAACACCTTGATGACACAAACTTTTCCTGGCACGGATTTATCAGGACTCCTCTGTGGATCATATTGCAAACAGTCTATTTATACACATCAGGCCATGCCAGAGAGAAGCAAGCTGACAGAATTTGACACAGTTACAGAAGACATTTTCGGAAATTAGCTTTCCCCGCTTTCCTGACGTGGGTTAGAGGGTTGAAGCCACTATATATTGTCTGTACCATAAATATGAAGCCACAGCCGGGAGACTTTATTAGCTTTTGCTAGGCCTTAACATAAAGACTGAAGAAAACAGCCATAACGTGTTAATTAGTGAGCTTTTAGAGGTACTAGAAGGTGGATTTTGTTACCTTTAGACAGTCAGGATACCTGTTTTCTGGTCTTTGTGCTAAACTAAGTTTATCGAAGCATCCACTTGCAGTAGATCTGTACTGACAGATATTATGGTGGTTATCAATTTTCTCATCTGACTTTCCACAAGAAAGAGATTTTCCTACTCCTTTGAACACAATATATCATATGAGAAACTCACACCTTTCACTGTTCATTAGTTTACACTGTGATGAAATGTTGTCATACTGAATTGCTCATTCTGAAACTAATTAAAATGTAATTTGATTTATCCAGCAGACACAATAGATACAGGGCAGTGGAACGGCCACTTCTCAAAATGTCCCGAGGAGCTGACATACTACTGCATCCACGGGGATTGTCGTTACATTAAAGAACAGAAGGCACCGTCTTGCAGGTGAGAGACTGAGAAAAGAATAGAGATACTGGTGCATGGAGAAGTTAATATAAAGAGATAGATGGACAGTGAGGACAGAGGAAAATTGAAAGGGATTGAAAACAGAACAGATGATATTGAGTTGTTTGTTACTGTGTGTTCTTGCACTACAATGGCTTTTGAATGTCTCAGTATATCTGGAGAAGCAGACAAACAGATATCTGCAGGGAATAGTCACATAAAATGAAAGTTTTCTCTTTCTATGTCTCAGGTGTCACCATGGCTACATTGGCTCCAGGTGTGAATATCTGGACATGGACTTGCGGATCGGAGAGAAACGACAAATCATAATTGCCTGTGTCATCGCCGGGCTCGTTTTCCTCATGCTTCTCATTGTATTCATCTGCTTTTGTTCACAGTAAGATTTTGTGATTGTAGGACAGACAAAATATGACTTACCAATGTATTAACTGTACTAGTCTGACATTTTGGGAATTTTTATATATATCCTCAATGTTACTAAACATAAAAACACGTGACTCTCCCAGTTAATGTAACAATACAGATTTATGTTATAATTACCAGTTATTTAAAAACAATTTTTAAAATCACTTTTGAATAACGGACTTATACAAATACTAAAATACACCAGTGTTGTTTAACTTGTGAACAACATTGTTGAAATCATTTTAGACAGAGCCAGGTAGTTGTTTCCCCCATTTTCAGTCTTTAGGCTGAGCTAAGCTAACCGGCTATAGCTTCATATTTAGCATATATACATGTGAGGTATCAATCTTCTCATCTACTTCTTGTCCACAAAGCAATCATATTTCCCAAGGTGTTGACCTGTTCATTTAAAAAGTGAAGCATTATGAGTGTATTTTTACTGCTGCGTATACATCGATCAGCCATAACATTATGAGCACTGACAGGTGAAGTGAATAACACTGATTATCTGGTTATCATGGCTCCTGTCAGTGGGTGGTATATATTAGGCAAGTGAACATTTTGTCCTCAAAGTTGATGTGTTAGAAGCAGGAAAAATGGGCAGGGTGAGGATTTGAGCGACTTTGACAAGGGCCAAATTGTGATGGCTAGACGACTGGGTCAGAGCATCTCCAAAACTGCAGTTCTTGTGGGGTGTTCCCAGTCTGCAGTGGTCAGTACCTATCAAATTGGTCCAAGGAAGGAAAAGTAGTGAACCAGAGACAGGGACATGGTTTGCCAAGGCTCAATGATGCACGTGGGGAGCGAAGGCTGACCCATGTGATCTGATCCAACAGACGAGCTACTGTAGCTCAAACTGCTGAAAAAGTTCATGCTGGTTCTGATAGAAGGGAGTCAGAACACACAGTGGATCACAGTTTGTTGCGTATGGGGCTGCATAACATTATGACCACCCACATGCACAGGTGGTCATAATGTTATGGCTGATTGGTGTAAATGTCATGTACTGTGCATAACATGTTTTATATCTCTGTCAGTCGTAGGTTCAGATTGTGTTGGCGGAGGAGAAGACGGAGAGAAGAACCAAGGAATGGGACTGAAAAGCTCAACATGATGGACACCAGCACAACACACACACCTTTAACGGAAGACTCAACAGAGCCACCACACACCAATGCTGTATGAGAAGTGTGTGTGTGTGTACGTGTGCGACCACAAGTCTGGAAATTGTTTAGACATGAGGGATTTTGTTCTCCATGTGACAGCTGCTGCCTTTTGTCTCACAGTGATGGCAGCGTGCTATAGAAGGTCCTCTCTGTGTTGGATGGGACTTGGGCCTGCTCAAGGGGAAGGACATTTCTGAATAAAGGCTGCATTAGATCAAGCAGGAGCACGAGGTTTGCACCCTCCTCTTAAAGGGCAGCCTGCCCAACTTTGATGAAGCTTCAGAACAAAGAAGATGCCTCCCTGGATTTACTATAAACACAGATTGGAGATGAGTTGTGAGAGCTGGTTGAATGTTGGCAAGGACACTTCCTCCCCCAAATGGCCAAGAGCCACATCTGTTTGAAGCCTTTCCACTTAGCACTCCTGACTGCATAGCACTAAATAAATTGTTGCTATGTTGGAAAAAGCTGTGACACCAGCTGGCGGCCGGTGATAACAGTTGATCAGGTTATTGGTCTGCGCAGGAGAAACTGAAAAATAAGAGGAAAGGCACTGTGTGAAGACACTACACTCTACTCTAAATAAATCTTTAAATGTATAGAAATATGCAATATTATAAGTACCAGCAGCTACAGATTCAGTGTTTGCTGTAACTTTGTGTTATATTGTTTCTACTTTGTTTAGTGTCATTTCACACATGCACAGTATTGATATTTCACAATCTTCATTACAAAATCAACAGTTATCATCATTTATTCCTCTTATCCACTGCAATGTCTCCACATAAACTCACAGAATATTGTTACTCAACAACGTTAGCAATGCAAGAAGAGCCTTCTATATACTAAAGACTGCAGTTCTGGACTCCTGGGTTGGAGGAGGACAAGGAGAACTTGTGCTGGAGGCTTTTTTGAACTGTATATTTGGAGCCGAGCAGCCTCCAAGCGACAGAGGCAGCCTGTGTGTGGAGGCTCAACTGAGGTGAAAGTGCTCCACTGTATGAGACAGTTTCTAAGATGCCAGCCTTTCACTGGGCTTTTAATGTGTATCTGTATGTGTGTTAACTCTGCATCTAAATGTAGAATGAAGAGAGGTAGGACAGAGTCTGTTAAGTCTGTTTATATGTCACCTATCAATAAATATGTCTGCTGTATGTGTGCTGTCCATTTGAATCATTCAGCACAAATCTAATGCAACGAGACCCAGATTACGCAGTGTTTTCTAAGAAATCTCACTCAACATGCCCTGTTGTGTAGAACAGAGTGTCTGTAGAGTGCTTTGATGTCATTGCAGAACAATGAAAGTTCACAAGACCTCTGCTGACTTATACTCCCTCACAGATAAACTGTATTAACCTCTCCAGAATGCTCCTTGAACTACTGTAACCCTTATTACAGATGAACAGTTTCAATTTTAAAAAGTTTGAATCAAATAAGTGCTTTTTTGTACGATATTATAACATAAACAAATGTGCAAGACGTGTTCAATTTTGGTAATGTCTATGATCCCTTTCAGGTGATTGTGCTTTGTTTATAGCTTTATTGTGTTGTTGTGCTGCTATGGTGCTGTATTACCAGCTAGAGCCAGAAATGTCATGTTGCAGGAGCCAACAAATTCCAATGTGAGAGTGTGAACATAATGCAGTGTCGTCCTCTGGCATACTGTAATGTGACTTAATCCTGTTGGCATGAGGGAATTATCTTGTATCTCACTTCATCCTTGATTCTAACACTGTTTTAAATGTTATCCTTTAAAATCTGCTGGGCAGTCCACCAAAAATCAATAATATAAGAAGATTTAGATGTATGACATCAATAGCATCCCAATGGAAAGTGGTGGAACAGGTGGCAAAGCTATACGATCATACTAGGGCTGTCCCCGAATACAGATGTTCCTTGTCGACTAGTAGTTATTAGTTTAACAGAACGTTTTTGATATGGATTTAATTATTTAAATATATATATATATATATATATATAAACAGCCGCCTGTTAAATGATCCCTGAAAAAGCTCTAATGATTCTAAATGTGTCGGAACAAGCAAGGATTTAGTTGATTTATTTCAACACAGTATAACATTACACAAGTCTTATTGTTCAAAACACGGAATAATAGATCCTCCTAATTGTTACACACCGGACCTTTAAACGTATGAGACTGATCGCATAACAATGGAAAGTGGGTGAAGAGGTGGCAAAGCTATGTTTGTGCAGCCAATTTTGTTATGTTTTGACTAAAACATCACCTGACTTGAGAATGGTATTGATTATCTCATCTATCATTATAATAGCCTATAAGCATTCTTTCCAAAATATCAATGACTTTTATTTTCAGGCGATTATACATTAATGAAAACATAGTTCCATTTCTGCCAATAGATCTTCATAAATGTCGCACACTGGACCTTAAAGTTACTGTATCTTCATTTTCCTTCCTGTCTGTTCTTCCTGTTAATATACCCGTTGCTTCATTTTTCATGCTTTCAGTGTTTGGTAGCGAGCTGCAGTCTTTGAATCACCCAGACTTGTTTTGGTCATGGTCTGCTAGAATTGAAGCCTATAAAAAATACACTTGGCTGCCGTTTGTTTTGCAATGTGTCAACCTTAATTCATTTGAAAAAAGCACAAAAGTGACTGACTTATTCTTAGCTACAGTGAAATGCTTTGCTCATAATGCCAGAAAAGGTTAGTTTTTTTCAAAATCTATACCAAAGGCAACTATTAAAATAAGTATGATGAACTGGATTAAAATGCATACATTTAAAACACTTTCGTATAAGGATATTAGTTTTTAAACAGAATTTTTGGCTGCATGTTTTGACCACTACTTCCTACAGTTTTGTATTCAAGGACTATCTATTCTCTGCTCTGTTAACAGTGAAGGTGTTAGGATCTTTGACCTAATTTCAGGTTAGTGCCTAAGTGCCCGGCTGTCATCAAAAGAGTGACAGCTGTGGAATGCCGGAGTTTCTATATGAGGGGTGTGCCTGCAGGACTTATAAATGAGACTGATAAGAAAGATAGATACCAGCCAAACTGTAGTAGATGTTTGATTTGGAACAGAGATGCAGTCAAAAAAACCTTTTTATCATTTTGAAACACCTTAAAAGAACTTGAGTAGACTTCTAGTGGATGTCAGACCATGGATGAAGTGTAGCTGCGACTGTAGAGTTTGTCCTTCCATCTGTTCTCTGGTATGTGTAGCTCCAACAGCTGTGCTATGACTACCAAATAGTTTTACTGGAAGATATTTGCACCACACAGGGCGCCACATAGATCAGCACTGGAAGTGAGTTGTTCCGGCAGTGTCACATGCGTTCTCTAAGCAGTTCAAATCAATTTGTGTAGTTTTTGTAGTTTGTGTTGATACCACTGGAGGTCAGCAGAACACCTATCACAACAGACTTCTAAAATACTGAAACACAGACAGACTTAATCAATGATGGAACATGACAAAGTACAGCTTTAAGGTACTTGATCTTGACTTGAGTATTTCCATTTTATGATTCTTTATACTTCTAAACCACCATATTTTACAGGGAAATTAGTTATTTGACAGCTATGCAGCAGTTTCTGATTACTTTGCTGATTCAGGAAAGGTAAGACATTTTAATTCAAAGTGCTTTACATAAAGCATAAAAGGCATCAAGACAAAATGTAAAAGCAACATAAAGCAATATGAAAATACATTTAAATACATTTAGAGGACCAGTGTATAGGATTTAGCGGCATCTAGAGGTGAAGGTGGAGAGGTACGACCTGGAAATAACAAGGGGTTGTGAAGTGTGTAGGAACTACGTGGCCGCAAAACAAAAACACAACAATTCCTTTATTTGTGTGATTATACACTAATGAAAACATAGTTATGAATATTATATTACACTTCTGCCAATATATCCTCCTTAATGTTACACAGTATATTTAACTGCCCAAAAGTATCTTGAAAAGTTTAGTTTCACCTCAGCCAGATATAAAAATATGCAAATATGTTTGTCTTTATGTAACAATATGATGTTTAATAATTGAACTGCTTGCATAATGAGTGTTTCTACTTTAAAGCTGCAGTAGGTAACTATTATAAAAATTACTTTTTTGTTATATTTGCTGAGACTTTCACTAAATGCAGACAGTAGTACGTGAGACAGATAATCTGTGAATCTAGCTCCCCCTAGTGCTCCTGAGGGCATTTGCAAGAATTCACCAGAGCCATGAAAGATAGAAGATTGAGTCAGGTTCGGGGATTCACAGATTATCTGTCTCATGAATTATTGTCAGGATTTAGTGAAAGTTTCCGCAAATATAACAAAAAGGTTTTTTTTAAATAAAAGTTACCAACTCCAGCTTAGATTTTTTTACTGTTATTTTTACTGTACTTCTAATTATTATAATTAACATTTAAACATTTGAATGCAATATGTGGTATTGACGGGCGTGAAGAAGTAATGGATTACACGTTATGTAATCAGGATTTAAAAAAAGGTATTTAGCAGGATTATAATTTTATAATAAAATTTTTTTCAAATATACTGAGAGAAGGACGCTTTTTGATGCAAAAAATCTTCATCAATCTTGCTTTAAAAGGTTACTGTTGTCGTATAGAATATACTTGCATCAATATTTCTTATTCTCATTTCTTTTCTCTCCTTTTTATTTACATATTTGGTGTTGATGTAATCCAAATGTAATGGAAAGTACTCAAGTTACGTTACTTTAATTTTCTGAATCTGAGCACTTCTTCCACCACTCTATTTAATATTTCTCAAACGTTAATCTGGAATCTTAATTTTTATTACTGCGGCACGAGCAGCATAGGGAAACCATTAGAATCAGTTCCCTGTGAATCAAATCAATTATTGGCAAAGGGACATTTTAATTACAGAGATTTTAGGAGGCTAGGTGAATAAATACAGTGTGGATGCTGCAGCTATAATTCTTACTCTGTAGATTCATCCACCTGCATCATCTGTCATGTGAAAATATCTTCTAAAAGTAGGAGGATCAGGAAACCATTAGGGGGATGGCAGGTAGTTGTGATTGGAACAGATAGCAGCTACACTGGAGATTTTTCCTGTCACATATACGTTTATTTTTCTCTCTCAGTGCTGCAGGAGGTTCACAGGCGAGCTGACATGTTGACTTACGCAGAAGATTTGTGGTATAAAAGCTCAAAACAAAAGTCAACTGTTTGGAGAAGGAACATTTTATTCGGATTTTCTTTTCTTTTATCTTGAAAATAGAAAATGGATCAGGCTACAAACACATCAGTATGGATAGAGTTCATAACCTGCTCCCTTCTTGGATAAAAAAACTGAGATTTGGGTTCTTTTATATTGGGTTATCATCACCGCTATCATTTCACCCACATCTTGCCTGACTTATCAAATTAAACTATACGGCACAAATATGGAAAAACTGCTTTCAGAAAATTGAGAAAAGTTGACATTACACTCTGAGAGTCTCATCTCATGTATTACTTTAAGCTTAGAAATAGTCTTTCATGGTCTTGATTTGCATCCGCTGAACTAAAAGGTCAAATAATATCTACTACACAATAAGAAATGCAATATGTTTCACATTAAAACTGAATCAAATCACTGCTTGTAGTGTGAAAGGGTTGCTAGTCCTGCCAGTCCGGTGTGCTGCTTTGTTTAATCACAAGTCCCACAGACAGTTTATATAAATAGTGTGGGCAGCAGCTTGTGTCTCACAAAATCAAAAAGGCCAGTAGGTTGCAACCTACATACAGAAATACTGTAACATGTTACAAAAGTGACTATTAGGACATTTATGATAAACCAAGAGAAAAACGATTTATTAGTTATTAGTTATTAGTTATTAGTTTGTGGACCAATCCAAGGTCTCCTCCTCTCCAAACAGTAATTAAAACTGATAAAGACACTGAATAGAGAAGTTTCACGTTAAAAATATGTTTCTCCAACACTGTTTGGTGGACAATCAACGACCCAGAGGGGTTTGTGAGATTAACTGTTGCTCTATCCAGATATCCAATGACTAAAATAATTTCTCCATTTAAAATATAAAGTTAAAAACGTCCAAGATATAAAAAGTGTAAATATTATATTAATAATATTTATATAAAGCAATTTAGGACTTGCTGAAGCATGCAAGGGGATATAACACCACTGACTGGCGACCAGTGAAACACACTGTGAATAAAATGACTGATTTCTCTGAGTTTGAAACTGGACCACTTCTACAACAAACCTACTTTAAGAATATAATATTTTACGTACTTCAATTTAGCATAAATCTTTAATTTCCAAAACCACACTTTCAAAATCTTAAAATTGTAAAAGTAAAATTTGACACCTCAGTACACTGTTTTATAGCTTTAACCTGCGGTAATCAATATTTTTAAATTAAGGGTTGATCAAACTTGCACTGTAAAGTGTTTTCTTGTAGTAACAAAGCCACAGAGAATTATCACCTGCAGTCTTTCACCTGCAGTAGGCAGATGTTTTAATGAAAAAAAGCCCTGATAAGCTCACTGTACACTACAGTACCCACCCAGCACCAAACAGCAGATGAGTCTTTGAGATCAATTACAAAGCCTCTCTAACAGATTTGATCCAAATATGTAGAAGTGAATGGCTCAGACATTCTCTTACTCTCTGACTCAGTTTGTTACCATTTCAAAGTGCTTTGGTTAACTCCTCTCAAGGCTGCCGCTGCTTGTGCCTTTGTGTAAAAAATAAATCTTTGAAGGTATAAAAGTATTCTCTGCCTCGGTACTCATGTCCAAAGGGCTAACACCTTTGTTCCTTATTAATGAACCCAGTCTTAGCGCCACAAGGGAAATGGAAATAGTGTCTGAGGCTCTTGTTATCTAATACGAGAGGTTTAACCTTTGCGGGTATTCATAGACATGATTAGAGAGAAGAAAAGATCTAAAATGAAGAACAATTACTTGGCTGCTGAATATCAAAGAGATGCCCCACAACCACAGCAGACTGACATTTAGAATCGGATTAGGATTGACCACATTTTCACAAGAATGGCTATTTTTAAATCTACATAATTAGTGTTGAAACGTTTGCAGTAGTCTACTCACTCAAAAGAATAGTTTATTATTTGGGGAAATATTTGGGAGATGTCAAAATTGGCACACAGGAACACCATAACAATCTTTAAGGAATAGTTTGACATTTTGGGAAATATTCGCTTTCATACTGAGAGCTGGATCAGAAGATCGATACCGCTTGATCTGTTTGATCATTATGAAAGTGACGCTAGCAGCTGGTGAATTTAGCTCAAACTGGGCTATGACTACAGGCGTAGTTTTAAGATCTGTCAACAGTAGTCTGCTAGCTTTCGTTAGCCTCAAGGGGCTTAAATGTTCACTGCTGCTTTGAAACACCTCCAACAGCTCGTCTGATGTTAAAATAGCATATACCAGGCCAAGTAATGTAAGATTTGATATAGCATTTTATGCTGAACAATTTGGGGAAAACAGATTTGTTTGCAGCAAAAAATTTTTAAAGGGCCAGTGTGTAGGATTCAGTGGCATCGAGCGGTGAAGTTGCTCAGCCTTCCAAGCGTGTGGAGGAGAAACTATGGTAGCCGCCGCGAAAGGACCTATCTAGAGCCAGTGTTTGGTTTGTCCAGTCTGGGCTACAGTAGAAACATGTCAGTTCAACATAGCGGCCTCCATTGAAGAGGACCCGTTCTGTAGATATAAACGGCTCATTCTAAGGTAACATAAAATGCAACTATTCATATTTTTAAGTTATTATTCATTAATGAAAACATTCCTATGAATATTATATTCCATGACTGCCAACAGATCCTCCTAAGTGTTACACACTGGAGCTTTAACCTTAGCTGGCCTTGGCTGCAATCAGGAGTCACTTAGGGGGAAAAGCAATAGTCTGTTTGAGGCCATGGTGTTAGTATTTTTCAATGGTATTGTATTATGTAAGTTATTATGTCATTTCAGTCCAATGCAGCGACTGCAATCTACGTGCATTACATATTGAACAGGTTTTACTTCCTGTCCACCGCCTTAGTCGCTTCAGTAAACCCCTCTCTCTCTCTCTCTCTCTCTCTCTCTCTCTCTCTCTCTCTCTCTCTGCTCTCTCTCTCTCTCTCTCTCTCTCTCACACTCTCTAGTTTTTCAAGGTTAGACATCCAAGGTGACAAAAAACCTTCTTCCACCTCTACAAATACTCTACGGTCAGCTTTACAAGACAAACAAGAAGCCCTTCAAGAAGACAGCTGTGACAGAGGACATATTATGTGAGCTTTTAACCACAGTAAACTATGGATAATGTGGATTTATTAATATGCTGTAATATTATATTTTCTTTTTTATATTTGATCTTAAAATTAGTAACATCACGTAAATTTAAAATGACCCTACTGTCATTTACTTTTTGGGAATTATTATGATAGCCGTGGGCGAAGTCCTTGTGTTTCTTGTGAATGTGATATCTCAATTTCTTCAAATTTGACACAAACGACCTCTGAGACTCAGGGATGAACTTGAGTGACAGGACACATGGTAGCTCACCTGGTAGAGTTTATGTAAGCTGACTCCAACCTGCGGCCTTTTGCTGCATGTCATCCCCCCTCTCTCTCCCCTCTTTCCTGTTTATCTTCACCTGTCCTGTCAAAATAGGGGCATAAAATCTTAAATAATAAAAATAAAAAAAGTCACTGTGACTGCACAAAACACATTTTGGGCTGTAATAAGAATATATTGTGACAAAGTGACAAGCCCTTTTTGGGGGGCAATTATTCAACACCATAACTCAGTAATTAAATCTTTGGTTAAATCCATATAAAACTGCAACTTGACTGGTTGTCGGAGGCATAAAACCGCATAATGAAAGCAAAAGTTTCAAGTATTTAATCAAGTATTTCAAGAGTCCCTATACATATAGGCACAGATAGTCCTTGAATGCCTGGCACATCTTACTTTGCCTGCAATGACTCTGATAGATTCCCACTGGTTGTAATTTAATCATTATCTAATTCACCCTCCTCTTTTCACCTCTCCTCTCCACCTCTTTGTATTCCCCAGTCCCCATCTACTTTTCAGTCCATTTGTCACCCTGCTTTTGGATTAATTCCCCTCATATTCACCGTCTTTTCATCTGTGCCACCTACTGAACCAGGGGCCGATGAAATAGTTGCATAACCGACCCTCAGCCAAGATAAAGTTGGATCAATAGGAAATAAATTAAAAGTAATGGATGTCTGAATCCACAGTGGAGGGACCATAAGTCAGCTCATGAAAGCTTTTAGCGTTTCACAACAACATATTTGACCTTCACTACATCGGAATAGCCTTTAGATATGTGTTTTCTCCACATTAGATAACTGAGTAAAGTACATGTGGTGTTTTATAATTCATTCAAGAACAGTTCAAATTCCCAGTTTACATTACAGTACCTTTATATACGGTTGTTTCTATTAAATTAATTTTAAGATTGTTATTTTTTTTTCACATGGCATCTAATCAGAACCAAGGACAGCGCCAGATTGCGCCAGAGCGCTGCGTCAGGACGCCTCTTCATGGTTGGAGGGCTGAGACGCACAGAGAAAACCTCAGAGCAGCTCGGCAACCCTGATGAGAAGCTCTTCCACCTCTCAGGAACACACATCAAAATTGAAACGTCTTCATATTGACACACAGTAAGCTTAGATCAGTTTTTTTCCCCAATGTATTATTTAAGTCACACGGAGGCTGGCGCAAGAACCTAAAATCTAAAGGAATATTTTCTCGAAAAAGTGAAGCTTTTTGGATTCACGGGGATGATTTCATTAAACATCCTCTGGGATTAAAGTTAAAATGTCTGGAGAATTCACCGACTCTAACTACGAAGGCTCAGCAGGGATAATCTTTGCTGCAACCTTCAACTTCAGCTGCATTTTCAACAACACCAACCGCTCCGACGGCGACTACTTCCACCTGTCAGACTTGGACAAGACAGATTTTGTGGGAGATGGCGCCGCTGTTGTGAGGATTATCATCTCCGTCATTTACTCGTTGGTTTGCGCGCTGGGCCTAGTTGGGAACTTACTCGTCCTGTACCTGATGAAGTCAAGAAAGGTGTGGAAAAAATCCTCCATCAACCTTTTCGTAACTAGTTTGGCTGTGACTGACTTCCAGTTCGTCCTGACTCTGCCGTTCTGGGCAGTGGAGAATGCGCTGGACTTCACGTGGCTTTTCGGCAAAGCGATGTGCAAGATCGTTTCTTATGTGACAGCCATGAACATGTACGCCAGCGTGTTTTTCCTGACCGCCATGAGCGTGGCGAGGTACTGGTCGCTCGCCTCTGCGCTGAAGGGCAGGCGGCGGCGGGCGCACTGCTGCTCCGCGCGGTGCATCAGCGTTTTCATCTGGTTTGCCGCTGTCTCCGCCGCTCTGCCGCACGCTGTTTTCTCCACAACCGTCACAGTGTCCAATGAGGACTTGTGTCTCGTCAAATTCCCGGAAACCAACGGAACCGCGCAGTTTTGGCTGGGTCTCTATCAATCTCAGAAAGTGCTGCTGGGTTTTGTGGTGCCGCTGGGCATCATCTCAGCCTGCTACCTGCTCCTTTTGCGCTTCATCACCTCCAAAAACATCAACACATCGAGCGCCAAGCGACGCGCCAAAGTCACCAAGTCTGTCACCATCGTGGTCTTATCCTTTTTCCTCTGCTGGCTGCCCAACCAGGCGCTCACAGCCTGGGGCATCCTCATCAAACTCAACGTGGTTCCTTTTAGTTATGAGTACTACACCATGCAGGTGTACGTTTTCCCCGTGTCCGTGTGCCTGGCGCACTCCAACAGCTGCCTGAACCCCATCCTGTACTGCCTGATGAGGCGGGAGTTCAGGAAAGCGCTGAAAAAACTCTTCTGGCGGATGACTTCGCCGACCATAAGGCCGATCACAGCCACCACAAAGCAAGAGATGAACGAGCAAGGACACGTCCTGGCCCCTGTCAGTGCGCCCGAGGAGCCCGGTGTGGTGTTTTACCCTCCGGGCGCTGTTATGTACAATGACTTGCGAGATCTGCCGCAAAACAGCACCTGATCTAAAGTTCCACAGGGACAGTTTTTAGTTGTTGTTTTTTTTTTATCCTCTTTGTTATTTATATGCATTTATGTTAAATACTCAATTTCTTGACTGCCAGACGTCAGGAAAGCTGTAGTCTGAGTCTAAATTAGATCTGCAGGTGAGAAAAAGCGCATAAATAGACATGGGATCTGTGATTTTTGTACTTCACTGCTCTTTATAATAAAAGAGGAAAAGGACATTTCTCTTGTGCATAAAGAAAGAACACAACACGCAGTATTTTGAATGTGCCTGCCCAAAACTGTAAAAAAAAATATATATATATATATATTAATGTGCAAGTAAAGTGCATCTGCAATATGTGAGACACTTGCTGGTCCTTCTCTTTGTTCAGGAGGAGAAAAACACTCAGGAGCTCAGTGAGGATGAAGGATATCCAAACACTAACTATAGGTTGGAGTATTCATTCCGCCAAAGAAAACTCTGGACTCATGGTTCATTAAAATGATTCCAGTGAGCTCCACATAGTGAGGTACAGATTTGAAATGAAGGGAAAAGAGGGCTGGTATCGGGTTGGTACCCGGTACTGATAACCTGATCAGAATCTGTATCGGGAGGGAAAAGGCTGGATCGATGCGCATCATACAGATCATAAACCTATATGGACATCTATATAGTCTTTAAATAGTCATGCATTTACATTTATTCATTCATAATTAATGCAGAAACACATTACAATTAATTAAGAGTTATTGGATTGCAATTTAAACTACCGTTTTTATTTACTATAATAACCTAATGGAAATGTCAGAAGAACTTGCTATTTAAACTACCTTAATCTCCATTGAAGCAGAAGAAAAAAAGCGCATACCTCTAAATGTCAAGCTGAGTGTCTGGCATAGTCAGACCAATCTGCACACACGTTTTTGGAAGCGATGGAGAGAGAACTGAGTGCAGCTTCAGGTAGAGTGAGTGCACTTTAGATTTAATTTAATTAGTCATAACAACCAGGCACAAAGGGAATTTGAAAAATCCCTTCATTACTAGTGTCTCCATGAATCAACCCATCAGTAATGTCTTTAAAAGTACATATAAGGCCTCCATTAATGTGGATTTAATGAAGAAATTAGGAGCGTTTAACAGATAAAATCGTGTGGTCGATTTCTACATCATCTTCGCCACCACATGATGTTGTCATGTGCAGGAATTCAGAGGGGTCATCTCACTTATGTTTCATTTGTTCAGGAGAGTTTGTAAATTATGTACTGATGTAAAGCCATCAGTGATCAACTTCAGCTCCTTTCTTCACTATATCACCCTTTAAATAAAGTATATCAGATATGGATTAAGCCTGTTTGACCTCAGTTATATGTGAACATACCAATGCACTAATGTTACAGAGATGTTTTGAATGGGGACTCTGCACTGATAGCAGTACATTTAAGGACATTAAAATAAGTACTATACTTCAGTTTGAGGTACTTTTAATTAAAAGCCAACTCTTTGCAGTTTCAGATTATTTATACAAAATATAAATCAACTAATATAGTTTTAATTATAGATTAAGCTCACCCAACAGAATATTAAGTCATTCAAATGAGCCCTACCTTTATCAGCTGCAACATTAAAGTGATCAACACAAATGCATCAATAATTACAAGCTTGTAATATAAACCTTTGGTACTTTATTTTGATGCTCATACTTACATTCTTTTACCAGTGGTGTAGTGTAGGTTGTATGCAGGTATACAGAGTAAACCCACTTATATTTCAGTCAGCTCACTTCTAAATCCTGTTGCACATCATTCAGTAGTGTTAATTTCTTTTCCTGGGATAGCAAAAACATAGTTTGTCTGATTTTCATGAGTGGATGGAATAAGGAATATTTCACTCAAAATGCACAATTTTGTAGTTGTCTCACCCGCCTGTGGGCCAGTATTGATTACTAAATCTGCACCTCCTCTGTGACTATCATAGTAATTTCATAATTATCCTTTCTCCCTGAAATCAAGTAGCAGAAGTTAAGCCATAAAGTGCAAATACTCCTGACTCCCCAGTTTTGGTTGAGCTAAATGTGTGTCTAACATATCACTGTTTATAACACATGGTGTTTATCTTTTGCTGGACAGGCCAATTTTGGGAATTAACTAGTATACCTACTTCTCTGGGCACCACTACACCACTAGCTTTTAAATAAGTAAATTTGTATCTTTATTCTGCAGTATTGCTGCTTTAATTTAAGTAAAATCTGATCTGAATGCTACTTATACAAAGTTTAACTCCCAGATTTAATAGAAAGCACAGGATTTAATTAAGCACCAGATTGAATATTGCCTCATTTTAAAAAAGGATCTAATGAAACTCATTTGGTTGACATCCCATCAAAACGTTCTCCTATTGCTGCCCCCAAGCCTTCTGTGTGTGTGCCTGTGTGTGTGTGTGCGTGTGTGTGTGTGTGTGTCACAAAACGGTGACAGAGAACAGAAAGCACAAATGCATATCTGACCGAGATTTAAGGAGTCCTGCAAACCAACAATAACAATCAACAGATAAATAAGCAGCATTGAATGTTTTAATTAATCAATCTCATTATTATGCTAATTTGATGAGAAATAAATGCCTTAATTGCCCCATGACCAAGGTATTAAATTGTAACATCAAAGCAATCTGTCATGTGGATGTTGCCCACAGTGCAACACACACATTTGTTCGTCCCACACACACACACACACACACACACACACAGAGAGAGAGAGAGAGAGAGAGAGAGAGAGAGAGAGAGAGAGAAGAGAGCATTTCATCTCTTCAGAAAAATCCCTTTTGGGGCAAAAAAAAAAAAATGTCTTGAGTCAAAATTATGATTAGAAATTCAAATGTAACAGTGAGAATCCCTCAAGAGACAAGCTAATATCTCTATTGATCTCCCAGGGCGCTGGAGAATACCCTTTGATGTGTTTTGAATGTCTAGGAAACAGATTTTCAAAGATATTTAGATATTCTGTTGAAGGTTTTTGTTGTGTACAATTCTCTCAATTCAACCAATTTACATATGAAAACACATCGGAAAGTGCCCGATTCACTGACATAAACACCTAGAACCTGTGAAATATTTATGGTTGTTTGAGACACCACAGCTGTCTTCTATAGATGTCAGTATATTACAGATGAATAACAGACCACGGAAAAAATAAGCTTTCGAAACTGAGCGTGCTACTGATCTCCCTCCTTACAAAGCCTGGAGGCAGAAACCGAGATATAATGAGGAGCAAAGAAGGATGATGTTTTCGACTATGATCCAGTGAAAAAACGTACAAGGCTGACAAAGAATGATGAGGTCCATGATTGGCCGCTACACATTGGTCAGCCAATTTGCTTTTTACTGAGGCAAGTTTAAAGATCCCCTCCAGACATGTTTTGAAAAATACTCTGCTTTGAATAACTTTCCGGTATTCCGTTTTTTTCCTCCAAAAGAAGTTTGGACACAGACTTAAAAATTCTTTAAATAAAAAAAAATCTACCAGAATCTATGTCCTTGACTTACGTATAAGTACTGTGATATCACTCAAGTAAGAGTATGGAAATACAATCAGAAAAATGTAGATAAACAGTCAAAAGTAAAAGTTATTCTTATGCAGATTGTTGCTGATTGGTGGTGGAAAGTAACTTAGTACATTTACTCAAGTACTTAAAGGTCCAGTGTGTAACATTTAGGAGGATCTATTGTCATAAATGTAATATTATATTCACTCAGGTATGTTTTCATTAGTGTATAATCACCTGAATATAGGAATTGATGTTTTTTTGTTACCTTAGAATGAGATGTTTTTATCTACATTTTATCTATGGAGTCTACCATGTTGAACCACCATGTTTCTACAGTAGCCCAGAAGCGACAAACCAAACACTGGCTCTAGATAGAGATGTTCATGTGCTTCACAGCCACCGTAGTTTCTCTTCTGTGTTTGGAAGGGGAGGGTGAGGCGAGGGAGTTACAAACTGCAACTAAACTGCTAGATGACACTAAATCCTACACACTAGACCTTTAAGTGCAATTTTGAGTTACTATACTTAAGTATTTTACTTTTATGCTACTCTAGATCTCTACTCCACTACATTTCAGAGGGAAATTGTACTTTTTACTGCAATACATTCCTCTGACAGCCGTAGCTTCAACTAACAGTACAAATTAAGATTTTACTCATAAAAAACACACAACAAGTTTATAAAATATCATACCATGTTAAAGATAAAGCCACTGGTTTCCAACTTTTTTGGCCTGTGACTTCCTAAAGAAAAGTGTGTAGTTGAAGCCACTTGTCACATTTCAGATGTACAAGTTGTTGGCAGTTCCATCAAAGAAATATTTCACCCCTAAACCTCTCAGATGGTTTCATTTTAATGACTGTTTGAGGCTCAAAGAAATAAAAGTATCCAATATTTCACAGAACTTGACTTTAAGTCAGTCTTTGCAGGTAAGACGTTTTGAATGTACTGTCACTTTTACTCAAGTAGAGGATCTGAATATTTCTTACACCACCAAACATAAACTGGTGACAGCTGGTAGAAGAGTATTTCACCAAATGTCAAACTGTTCCTTCAGTATTAATTATTTGGCTTCCTACACTATGCAGGAAACAATTTCACAAGACACTAAATTCTGTGGCAGCCCAAAGTGAAAACTGTCACGAAGAGTCATGAATGTAAATGAAATGGTCCCACATATACAAATAATAGAATCAAAAACATGTTATGGATATTATAAAGAATCTTTATTTATTAAAACAATAGCATTAAAATACTTTTATATAAGCAGAATCATTCCACGTATCTAATAAAGAAAGCGATGAACATGCAGCCTAACAGAGACATGGTTGAGGCCGAGAGGACTACCACGATTACACTCCCTGCCAAGTTGACCAAAGCGCCGAGCCCCGCGCCCACAATAATCTGAGCCAGCTGCACCATGCAAGTGAGTGCGGCGCAATCCACCCCGCTGCCACGCTGACTTTCATTGTTTCCTCGCAGCTTCATTTGTTCCTGGAAGAACAGCAGGTTTAGAGAGGAGGAAAGGAGGAGGATATGGTGGAGGGGGAGAGAAAAGGAGAGCAACATTTGATGGCATCAGTGTCTGTATTACCAGAAATGTCCATGGCAGAAAACAATCAACAGTTCGGTCAACAGATGCAGCTCTAGAAAATATCAACACACCACCTCATATATGTTTTATTTTCAGTATCTGAGGCACTTCATTTTATGTCAAATTTCAGCACCAGCTCAGCTGATTCAATTTAATGAGATATTGATTGGGCATGCCACATCAAAATAAATGTTTTTCTACTGACAATTGATTTTTTTTTATTTTTTTTTTTGCCCAAGGGAAGAAATTGTATACTACAATTTCTAGAAAGAATATTAGGGTATATACACTTTTATGTTTGGATTATTTGGTTTGCTGCAGTGTTATGACCAGCTGCCAAATATAAAGTTCAATATGTGGTCAATCCGTAGTTCCTTAGTAAAATCAAGATTTTCTCCAGAGCCCTAAACTGAAATTGAATTTCATTAAATGGCAGTGAAGAATATCTGTAATCAGTCCACAAGGGAACAAGCTACTGAGAATGTGTAACTGATTGACAGGTTGGTACTATTATTTGATACATTTTAATTGTTTTACTGTTTTATTGTTTATTTTTTAATATAAATACCCAGAACTTCCTGGAAGTCCAAAGTACTAATTGGATTTTCCTGGTGTAATAAAGTAGATTTAATTAAAGGGGCACTAAACCAATTTTACAGACGAAGGTCATTTGAGTCCTAATCAGCCTGTGCAAACAGTTGAATGATGTATTTTGTGCCTCTGGAGAAGCTTTCCAGGGTTATCTCAGCTTTGGATTGAGCCTTTAAATATATAACAAAAATCCTGTGATACGAACAGGAAGTGTGGATTTTACCAGATGAGGAGGGTCAAGTGAGAGATGCTTTCCAGATGCATTATTTGAAAGGCTTAACTCATACTAATGACTGAAGCATATTGTTTCTCTTCTGCTTTTAAAAGTCTGTCTCGAAGTATCCTTTTAAGTCCAATTTTTCATTCATTTATTTATTTTAATGCACCTCATCTCTAATAGTACAGAAATGGTTTTCTCGTTCAGATCACATTAGGATGTTCCTTTTATACCTGTTGTAATTTCCCACAGCCCAAGGTCGTGTTTCAATTTGTATTGGGTTTTTTTTCTGATGAACAGTCCCACGATGATATCGGCATGTAATCGGTATCCGCCGATAACGGCTTTAAAATGAAACATTATAATCTGAAATGTAATCCCAACCATTACGACTAATTAG